AATTAATGAGAACATTAGCAGCTCCTCCTGCCTTGAGGAATTCTTAAACCCCTTTGCTTTGCTGACTTGAACCAACGCAAAGCCATGCATGGGGCACTGCAAAGTGCCCTGGCTCAGAAGCCGCTTCCCAAGAATTTGGAACAAGGATCAGGACAGAGTCTATCATTTCCTGTGTCCAGAACTGGAACCTGTAAACTCAGAAGCTGCTGGCTGCCACATTTCCCACAATGAGGAGCAAAAGATGGTCTCCAGAGGGAGAGGGAAGCAAACCACAGAGAAGACAGAGGAGGGAAGGAGAGAGATCCTGAGCTCCTGAAGACCCTGAAACAATGAGATTCTCCTGAACCCTTATAATATCCCCCCTCCTTTTAAGCTAGCTCAAACTGATTTCTGTTACTTGCAACTCTGAGAGAACAAACTATATACTGGCCTGGGCAGTTACATCTCCTTATGCCTCAGTTTCCTCATGTTCAGTGAGAATTATAATTCAATTCATTCACTCATTCAGCAAATATTTACTAAGCGCCTTCTCTGTGCTAGGTACTGTTTTAGGTTCTGGGAGACATAGCTGGGATCAAAAGAAATTTTTAAAAACATCCTTCCTTTCTGAAACTTACGTTTTCAGGTCACTGGAAATACAGTAAACACATGGAGGAAGACAATGTTAAAATCAGGTGCCAAAGAGCTGGCTGACCCAACAGCTAGAGCACAAGTCTTAGAAAACTTACTATAATGTCAGACTTAAAACAATATACATCCCTTTTGGCTTTAAAATGAAATTGGATTAAAATGGGTCACCCAGTTCTAGAGTGTCTTTTCTTTCACAACTTTTCTTGGTGCTACTGCTGAAGCCCCCTTCTGATATTCTGCTGATAGGCTGCTTGGTTTCCACACTTGAACAAACCTCTTTTGCTCCCAAGTGATAGGAATCTTTGCTCCCACACTCTCTTGATGCTGCGGTCTCCCACTGCTTTGGCTTTGAGCAGCTTTCAGTCTGTTTTCAGTTATCATGAGCAGCAGTAGATAATACACGTAAGTGACAAATTAAACTCACAGATCATTTTTCAAATCTCAGTTTATCCACCTCCTCTCCCATCCAGTTATTTATCGCAACTACTTACAAAGCCTAAATTAACTGATTTGGTTCTATCTTCTCTTGCTGCCTCTGGTGGAGTTGCAAATGAGCAGAGGCATGGCCAAAAGGCAGGCAGCAGGAGAGAGAAAGCAAGGGCTGTGGATAGTCTCCATGGTGAAGGTCCCATCTAGCAAATTAACTGTGTGTGGGACTGACTCAGTCTGCTTCCATATTGCCTGATGTCTCATCCTCATATCTGGGACAACACTTTCTTACTCTAGGCAAATATGGGCAAACTATACATAGTGTCCATAGTTTTTATGTAAAACCAGGAATTAAAGCATCCTTTACTTATTATTTTAGTATAAATACAATGCAGAGATTCTTATATAACAATAATACTTAGCAACCATGGCTCACGTGGTCCTTCTCAACGTTCCTTTTAGAGACATGAAGCTTGTTGTTGCTAGCCAATCAAAAGACAGGGATTTCAAATAAAGCCAGACAATCCATGTTCTGCGACGTCTCAGCCAGAAATGGTGAGTTATTTTAATTTGTTACATATTCCATGCCTCTTGTGTCTCCCCACCTCCCCCCATCCCAAATTAATGAAAAACATCCATTCCTGTGTGCATGGGTGTGCATGAGCGCAACACACACTGAGGTTCTTTCAAAATACATGTGACCAGTGTCAGCCGTGTCTGACAGTGTATCAGAACCCATTTTAAGATGGAAACAGCTATTTTTCCACCCTCTTGGGGTGGTGTGGTTCTCTGCCCAAGAAACAGGCTTCTTTCTTGATAACTACTGCAGCCGGAAGGTTTCTATCTTGTGGGGCAATCTCAACCACAGGATGTCTTGCTAGCTCCTAGAAATCCAGGGGATGGCAAAGCTTAAATAAGATACTAACGATTAAAGAGAAGAAGCAGATCAGAATTTCAAAGGCAATAACCAGTTTGGGATTTTAACACACGAAAAGCAAGTTTTGCTCCTCACCTCAAAGAACAGAGAACAGATGACAACTAAATACCATTGCCTTGGAGTCGATTCCAACTCCTAGTGACCCTAGAGGACAGAGTAGAAGTGCCCTATAGGATTTCCAAGGCTGTAAATTTTTATGGAAGCAGACTGCCACATCTTTCTCCCACTAAGAGGCTGATGGATTTGAACCACCGACATTTCGGTTAGCAGCTGAGCATTTAACCACTGCACCACCAGGGCCCCTTGACAACTAAATGGGCTCTCCAAATTAGGACTCAGAAACCAAATTCTTGAGAGACTTTGCTCAGGATGCTTTTATGAATGGAGGCCTACCCTAATCGTAACCCTAGCTATGAGTGCTTTCTTACCCCCTCTTCTGCTAGTTGTCCAGCCTGTCTTTTAAATGGAGGATGTCAGGCAAACCTTTCTCCTAACATTATCGTGAAAACAACGTGGATGTATGCAAATAGCTAAGCAAATACTGCCTTATGACAGAGTCATTGGGTGGTGCAGTTACTGTGCTTGGCTGCTAACTGAAAGGTTGGAGGTTCAATTCCATCCAGAGGCACCTCAGAAGAAGGGCCTGGCAATCTTCTTCCAAAAAATCAGCCACTGAAAACCCTATGGAGCACAGTTCTACTCTGACATCCATGGGGCTGTCATGAGTTAGAATCAACTCAGATGATAGCTGGTGTTTTATATTCATACAGGGATTTGGATCTGTAGGCAAGTCCCTACAGATGGAGGAGGTGGACACTCCTTGGGCAGCTAACTTTTGCTCTATGCCAGAATGTCCTTTTCCCCCTCATCAAAAAGCTTCCCTGGGATGGCTAGGACTGCTTGGTCCAGGCATTACACCCAATGCGTTGATCTTTCTAGGATGATATGTTTGATTATAATAAATTGCACATACTAGGGAATCCTGCACAGGGCTGCCAAGAGCACTGGGCTGGGAGTCAGGACCTGGCTTCCTGTCTCCCAGTGGATCTTGAGCTAGCTCTTAATGACTACAGACCTATAGACCCCCATCTACTCAAAGTGTAGTCTTGGACCACCAGCATAGGATGCCCTCAGGTCCTTGTTAAAAGTGCAGCTAGTCCCAGGCTGTACCCCAAACCAACCGAATAAAAGTTTCTGGTGTCAGAGGCCTAGGACTCTGCATTTTTACGAGGTTTAGAACCTTCTCAAGATTTGGAAGTCCTCCTCTCGAAAGCCAGGAGTTGGAGATCTGACTGCCACGTTCCCTTCCTGCTCTAATTTTCTATGATTCTCAGCAGCAGCTCGTTTCTTTTCGATTGGTTTCCATAATCTGCAGCCACATTCTTACAGCGTTACTTGTCACTTCACAGGCAACTCCCAGGACTCAACAAGCATGTGGCAATAACTTAACTCCATCCCAATCTATTTTTAAAATGATGCAAATGAACTAAACTAAGGAAATGAAATATTTCCTAAGCCTGCTTTGTCAGTGGATGGAAAAATCACGTTGGTATTTGAACAAATGACTTATTCCCCAGGCCAGAAAAAAAAAAAAGTATTTACTCCCCTCCTTGCCATAACTCTGAAGGAATATCTTGACATAGTAGGGATTATCCATCTCCCTTCATGAACATGGAAGTGACTTTCTGGGATTGTGGACAAGTCACTCCCAATTAATTTCCCAAGGTCTCTAAGGATGAATTGGATTTTAGCTCTCAAATACTTTGAGCACCTGATAGAAGGTAACTCTCTGGGTTCTAGAACAGTGATGCAGGAAAGAGCAATGACGTAAGGTAGTGTTTCAAAACCCTTACTATCGTGGTTGATCTGTGTGACTGGTTAGCTTATCAGAGGCTTAGCGAGGGTAACTAGCGCCCAGAGGCAATCTCTAAGCTTGCACCCCTCACCCCATCCCTCACCTCCCCCAATCCCCCGCCAGCCTCACCATCGGGGTGGGGGTTGGGTCGGGGGGGTGGTTATTCACTGGCTGGCTGGCATCATCTGGCACCCCTTTGGACTTGCACCTGGGGCAAATGCTCCCTCTAGCTCTCCCTCCATATGCCTTTGTAGCTTATTTGGTTAAATGCCAACCAATGAAGCCAAGGACGTGTTTTTGATCTTTTGCGGGTCAACTGGCTTTAATCATTTTCTTTCATGGCTACAACCTGGACCAGCCATCTTAAAAATGTTGACCAAAGGAATCTGGATAACAATGTGAATAACGGTTACTAGTAAAATCACCCGAGGTCTGACGTTCTTTGATGTCGAATCAGAAGGTTCCTCTTTAGGTACTGAGATACCAGTAGTATGTACGACTGCAGACATCCTCAGGCAGGATCTCTTTTAGATTGTTTTGCAGTACCATTTGCTTCTTATAACCCAAATTAATTCTGTAATTCCATTATTTCCCCAGAAATAAACTTTTCCAGAATAGAACTGGTATCTTTACGTGGTTCCTGGCTCACCTGCGGGCCTGTCACCCAGTGCAGCCTGGCTCAATGCCTCCGTCTCCCAATCCTTTTCCTCCCCTTCTAGGATAGTAACATCTCTCCTCCCTCCCTGAGCTTTGCCTCCTCTCTCTGCCAGCCCCAGATACTGGGGTCCAGAAGTGGAGGAGCTTGCAGAGGGCATTCCATTGCCTGTGCTTTACCAAGGACCCAGGAAGCACACCACCATTAACTTGGTAGCTGTAAAATGAAGGAAGAGGGGAAGAAAAGGAGGTAAATTGGGGTTTAAACTTAATCTCTGATTTTTTTGTTGTTGTCGTTCATAACAGTAATGTTGAGTCGATTCCGATTCTTGGCGACCCCATGTGTGTCAAGTAGAACTGTTCCATGGGTTTTTCAAGGCTGTGCCGTTTCAGAAACAGATCACCAGGCCTGTCTTCTGAAGCGCCTCTGGATGGGTTCGAACTGCCAACCTTTTGGCTAGTAGTCGAGTGCTTAACCATTTGCACCACCCACTTATTATTTAACTTTGTGCCAGGCCTTGGGGAGAGGGCTTCAATGTATTATCTTACTTAATTTTCATCATATTCTCCTGTCCCTCTCCCTAATCACCAGACTAGAACTCTAAAACGTCTCAATTTCCTTCTTCTCTTTCATACATGTACCATGTAGCAGGGCTCTAAGGGGCAGATAAAAAGTAAAAGGAGACTCATGAAAGATAATCATGTTCCAAATAAGGACAAGGAGAGAAGCCTCAGTGAAGGGTATTTAATGACATAGAGAAACTGTACATCTGGGGCAGAGATAAAGAGACCGAGCCAGGCCAGCTGCATCTGACCTAGCAACACATCCTGTTGGTTTGTGAGGCCTCCCTTGAAGGAGGAAGTGACAGCAGCAGCATCACAAGTTTCCTCTCCCTGTGTGGGAGGACAGTGCAATGTTCACTCAGTTCAGTTATGTACCTGGATTTCTGCAGCCCAGGCACAAATATTCAGTCCATGTCCTTCCTAAAACATCAGGTCAAATGACCCCCTTGCCCCTTGGTGCAGGGAACTTGTGGCAGGAGCTAGTGAAGTGTGGAAGAAGAAGACTTCTTGCTGGAAAGACAAGCCTGGGAGTCCAGGGAGGTGTGGATCCTCAGGTGTGGCCACCTGGTCAGAGATGACACCGGACTGCTCCTCATTTTGGGAAAGGAGCCATTGCTGTCACAGTGGATTATGCAAATATATACACGGGTGAAAGGGTAAGAAAGCACTGGGCCTCTTACTGAACCAGTTGGTATTCTGGCGCAAGACCCTGAAGACATCAAGGTCCAAACTGAGTTTCTGCCACCTTCCATGGGGTTTCTTGACCTAATGCCTGGGGTCATGCAGCAGTCACATACCCACCAAAGACTCCAGACTTCCAGACAAAATCATCTTCTCCGTCTAACCACCACCTCTCTCCTCAAGGCAATGATGGGTAGACAGTAAATATTTCCAAGTCCTTACAACCTGAGCGTCTCCACCAGAGGGAGAGAAAGAAGCCCTTCCCACCCACTGGGAGTCGAGAACCAGCAAAGTCCAGTCCTCAAAGATCTCCAGCGTCTCTTAAATAAACTTTTCCTTTCTGTTTTCTTCTTTTAATTATTTATCATCCATCTATTTATTTATACAAATATAAAATATATTTATATAGATTTATATAATATAGACTTTTGTGAGGCAGAGGAGAGGAGAGGGCCAGAAGAGAGGGGCCCTCTCCGGCTATTTACAGACATACTGGTCGACGATCTCGGTGCACTTTTTGCACTTGACGAAACAGCACCAGTGGAACTTGCAGTGGCAGCGCTCCACCTGGACACTCTTGAACTGGTCATAGCCCCGGCCGCAGCACATGAGCTCACAGCCATCCATGCCCTCCGAGGTCTTGTTGCAGAGGCGACCCTGGGTGCCTAGGGAGCCTGTGGTCTCGTTGCGCAGGCAGTAGTCAGGGCTGGGATCCACGTAGACCAGGTCCTCCGGCGTGGGCTGGTTGAAACGGCTGTTGACCAGCTCCAGCTTGCCTTTGCGGGTGATGCGCATGGCGGCAGCGCTGTCGTATTTCTCCTTCAGCTGGTCCCCCACCTTGCGGAACTCGGCCAGCTGGAGCCAGCAGGTCTTGAGGCTGCAGGACCCTGAAACGCCATGGCATTTGCAGGCTACGTCTGCCATCTTATACACAGCCTGAGGGAGAGATGGGAGGAAAGAGAAGGGGATAAGAAGGAGAATCCCTGATGGATGATGTGAAGAGAGTGGCCAGGGTAGCCATAGGCCAAGGACAGAAGAGGGGCTAATATGGGGAGGTGGAGGAGATAGTTTTTTAAAGTATACAAAGACTTTCCCAGAATCCTCTGTTACTTAGATTAAAAGCAGACAAAAGAAGCACCACATAGAAAGACGTTGGGGAGACAATGGAACATTGTCTTATCAGCTACAAGGGTAGCAGGTGGGGTACTTTCACCTTCTATGCTTCTTGAAATTTATTACGATAAATATCTGTCATTTTTACCATCTGGGGGAAGAAAAAAGACATTTCCATCCTGATCAAATTCTCAAACAAATGAAAACCAGCAAAATGTGCCCAGCTTTCACATAATATGGGGCACCAGTCAGAAAAAAAAACAGTCGGTTTGCAAGCCTGTAACAGAAGCTGATGGCATGGCCCTAGTTAGCCAAAAGCTCTCCCCTAATCCTGCCAAATCGCCTAAGAATTAAATGGTCCCTTTTTCTGTGTTGCCATTTGGTCACTAACTCCATAAGTTATCAGGAGCCATCCATAAACCACATCATATTTGTAAATAAGACCACTTTCCTCCACCCCCAGCACCCCCAGACCTCCCCTGTGTGAGGCCGTGAGGGCAGAGGAAGAAAGGTGAGACCATGGGCAATGGAAGAAGAGCAAGATGGTGGGCTTGCCTCCAGGGGCAATTCATTTGAAAAGAAATCCACCCACAACAACATGGAGTGGACCTGAACTTGGGTTATCCCAAATCAGAATTTAAAAAGCAGGTGTAGACCAGAAAGCAGCTTACAAAAGTGCTTTTCAATGAAAGCATACTGATGCATTGTGTGAAATAACCCTGGCAGCAGGCCCAGAAGTGCAGATGGCAGGATAAAAATGCAAGCCGGCTGCAGAACACTTCCTTATGCCACAGCTATTGTCACCAACTGAGTCAGGACTCTCTTTTCATGGGTTTCTCTTAGTTTTCTTTTCAAGAGCCCCCCGATCGCGTCTTTATTCAGCTCTATGCAGAGACCACTGCAGGTGCAAGAAATAGCTTACCCATCATCAGCTCATATTACTATTGACAAAACTCTTCCTGATTTTTTTTTCTGGTATGAAATTATTCTTGCTGTATTATGGTGGAGAAATTAAAGACTGAGAGAAGCTAAATAACATGTTTAGGGCCACCCAGAAGGGAGTCAGACTGACTATCTGCTTCTGCACTCCAATCTTGAAGCTTTAAAAAGGCTTAGGTAGAGAAGGAAGGAAGGCTCCTCCCCAAGGTTAAAGGCACCAGCACTTAGACTGGAAGCTCCAGGTACAAGGCATAAAGGAACTGACACCCCATTCTAACAGGCACTTCAAAGCCGGAGTCTGTAATTATCCTTCTGGCACAAATCCCCTGGGTCTGTGCTGAGGCCTGACATTCCGCTGGAAATGGTCCTTGGTTTAGAGAGGGATGGCAGGCATCTGGTGCTGCTGAAAGGAGGAAGCATTAACAGTCTAAAATTGTGTACCCTGCCGCTAAGTGACTAAGGGGACAGGATAAGCATCTCCAGTGGGAGTAAACACTTAGGGAGATTTGGGGAAGGAGAGTCAAAGCAAGAATCCATGGAATAAGGACAAGAATTTTAGCCAAACAAATCCAAGAGGAAGAGTTCCACAGACCCTCACTAGTGAGACATTCATTCCATCATTCCTCTAATATAAAGACATTGTAGAGATATTATTTGTATTTTTTTTTTTTTTTTTTGGCTATTTTATTATTGATAATATATATCCGCTCCTCTTGCAGACAGGGAGAGAATCCCAATTTTAGGCCCTTCCTGCTAACTTGATGAAGCCATAAAATGCTTTCTAAAAATCTTTTAGCTCTACATCTTGCCCCCTGGCAAAGCTCTAAGTTCTTCTTCCACTTCTTTCTAATGGTGCAACTGAGCTTGGCAACTGACAGGAATGTCACAAGGATTAGGGAGCTTTTATCTGGAAAATGCTTAGAAAACCTTGAGTGACTAAACAATACCAACCCACTGGTCTTGCTATCGGTATGTAAAATGGAGTTACTACAGACTCTTAAAGGCCAAGAGAAGTTTCTTGCAAAGCGTGATTTACTCTATGATCAAGACGTCAGATCCTAGATATTCTGCATTTAAAAAAAAAAGCAGATGTAAAGCACTCTTCCAGGTAATGTTCAATCTCTACCCCCTTTAGTCTTTCCTGGAGAACCTTCTGTGTAGGTGTGAGGAGGTGGGAGGTGAATACCTTTGGCCTCAGATGGTGACTGATGGCCAAGGCCTGTTCCTTGGAGAGAAGATAAAAAAATGAAGAGACAAGAATTCCCAACCTGGAGCAGACAGGGGCAAAGGGAGAGATAAAGGGCTATGGAAGAGGTGTGGAGACTGCAGGAAGGGAGAGCTGATGGAGACAGACAGAGGAAAACAGGGAAGGTGTGTAAGCAAGAAACAAGGCAGATGGAAGGGAAGGCGCTGCGAGATAAGGGCCCAGCACAAACAAACAAACAATTAAGGGCAATAAAATGAGGAGCCAGCAGAAGTGGGGTCAAGACTGTGACTGAAATGGGGAAGAACTATTGTCTCCTCTTCTCCAAAGAGCCCCAGATTAGGATGAATGGATGCCCAGTCACCTAGACATCTGCCACAATTCCACAAGGATAGCTCAGAGCAGAGACAGGAAACAAACAGCCTCTTGTGAATTTGACCTCTTACTAGGAGGCAATATGGGAACTTTTCTCTGCATATTCACAGGAAGCCACCCATGTAAAGCATAGTGAGGGCTGCAAAGAAGTCTATATTTCAATGTCTGCCCTCGGTATCCTAAAGCTAAAAGGAAAACGTAGAATAAGAGGTATCTGGAGAAAAGCATAACCTCTCCTGGAGTTCAGATGCTAGAGGGACTACTTACTACAGGGCTTTTAAGGAGTAGGTGGTATTTCAACTGGGATCTTGAAAAGTGGATAGAATTTGGGCATTCAGAGAATAAAGTGAAGCTCTTAACCCCTTTCACTAATCTCTTTCTACTCCTCAGGGTTAGATGCCCGAAGACTCAATACCAAAGACTCGGGGCTAACGGACTTCCAGATGGAGATGAAGCCCTGGGAGCCAGGAGTCCCAGAGGTCCCCTCAGAGTTGAAGGTCATCTGAGATGGCTGCAATCCCTCTGCTCTCTGCCCCGGCTTATACCATAACAACCACAGATCAGAGCAAACACCAGAACTCCTAACATCACCATAGATTAATGCCTCTGACCCCATATCTGGCTAAACAAAAGTAGCCTCTGGATATGGGGTATGTAAGGAAGACACTGGACAAATGATCAATTCTATATTTTACTTGATGTTGTACTGTTGATGATGCCAAGTTTACACAGGTGTACCTTGTGCTAACCAAAACCAAAAACCCGTTGCCGTTGAGTGGATTCCAACTCACAGCAACCCTATCAGACGGAGTAGAACTGCCCCATGGGGTTTCCAAGGCTATAATCTTTATGGAAGCAGACTGCTACATCTTCCTCCTGTGGAGTGGCTGGTGGGTTTGAACCACAACCTTTCGGTTAGCAGCCAAGCACTTAACCACTGCACCACCAGGGCTCCCGAACCGTGTGCTCCCAAGCCAATATTGCAAGATCCTGATTCATACACAGGACATTCCCAATTGCATTTATTTGATACGTGCCCTTATAAAACATGAGTTAATTTTTTTTTAATTTATATATAAACAATTTTTAGAAATATATCTATACCCTGTTACTGAATCACCAATGACCTACATTAAACTTCTGAACCTATTTCTTCTCATGAAACTGCCACTCTCTGTTAAAGGTGGTGGAAACAGCAGTGATGGTTTTACAACATGATGAATGTAATTAATATCACTGAATTGTACATATAAAAAATGTTGACATGGCAAATGTTTTGTTATATACATACATATTCACCATAATTATTTAAAAAACCCATTAGTTCTCATTTTTTAATTAATTCTTTGGTCTTGCTATAACACCTAGCCTGGGCTACAGAGCCAGCTGGCTTAACACAGTCCTGCGTGTGGACAATACTCCAAGAAAGAAGTCTGTTTTGTTTCCTGAGAAGTCTGTGGTCTGCTGGCCCTTTGCCAGGAGAAGGAAAGTCCCACCAACTAGCACTCAGACCTCAGAACTTTCTAAGGGGAAACCTGGATGCACACCCACCCTCCTCTCCAGTCCCTCTCATCACTGGATACACTGAACCAGTAAAAGGCAGGGCTTCCTGCAGCAGGCCCGCAAGTATCCTGTGGCAGACTCTGACTATGGTGGGGGCAGCAAAGAAGAGGCCAGAGCATGTGTTCAGGTGAGGCCCTCATGAACAAGGTGCAGGCAGAGAAGAAATACACTCTCCAGCATACCATAAAGGGAAACCTAAAGCTGATGCCTTACGTTCTGCATAAAATGAAAAAACAAAATAAAACATAGTTGCTGTCAAGTCGATTCTGACTCATGATGACTCCATAAGGTTTTCAATGGCTGATTTTTTGGAAGCAGATCACCAGGCCTTTCTTCTGAGGTGCCTGCGGGTAGACTCCAACCTCCAACCTTTCGGTTAGCATCTGAGCATGTTAATCTTTTATACTCCTGTGTTCTGCATATACAATAAACCAAACTTACCTCAAAACCTATATTTTAGTTTCTACTGAAATTGAGGCTCAGAAGGCAGTGTCACATCTTACACGGGACTGGTAAGATGTTTGCTTGAGCTTAAAAAGATGGATGTCTCCAATATAGGGGAAGTCAGCACAACTGGACTACACCAAAAGCTAAGAAGTTTCCTGAACACAACCAAACACTTTGAGGGACAAAGTAGCAGGGACTGGGGTCTGGGGACCATGGTTTTCGGGGGATATCTAGGTCAATTGGCATAACAAAGTTTATTAAGAAAATGTCCTACATCCCACTTTGTTGAGTGGCATCTGGAGTCTTAAAAGCTTGCGAGCAGCCATCTAAAATGCATCAATTGGTCCCAACCCACCCAGAGCAAAGGAAAATGAAGAATACCAAAGACACAAGGAAAATATTAGCCCAAGAGACAAAAGGGCCACATAAACCAGAGACTCCATCAGTCTGAGACCAGAAGAACTAGATGGTGCCCAGCTACCACCAATGACTGCCCTGACAGGGAACACAACAGAGAGTCCCTGACGGAGCAGGAGAAAAGTAGGGTGCAGAACTCAAATTCTAGTAAAAAGACCACACTTAATGGTCTGACTGAGACTGGAGGAACCCTCGAAGACATGGACCCTGGACGCTCTGTTAACCCAGAACTAAAATCATTCCCGAAGCCAACTCTTCAGACAAAGATTAGACTGGACTATAAAACATAAAATAATACTCGTGAAGAGTGTGCTTCTTAGTTCAAGCAGATACACGAGACTAAATGGGAAGCTCCTGTCCGAAGGCAGGATGAGAAGGCAGAAATGGACAGGAGCTGGTTGGATGGACATGGGAAAGCTGGGGTGGAAAAGGGGAGTGTGCTGTCACATTATAGGGATTGCAACTACTGTCACATAACAGCATGTGTATAAATTTTTGTATGAGAAATTAACTTGAGCTGTAAACTTCCACCTAAAGCACAAAAAAAAATAAAGTGTCTCAGATTCCCACTGATGTGAAAAACTCCTAGCCTAGAAGTGTGTTTATCATTAGTACTTGAATGGGCTTTTTGACTGGGTTTCTGGATATGTGTGATAGCAGCTCTTAAAAGTCAGCTCTGGTTTTTACCTGAGCCTTTCTTTAACAAATCATAAACCCTAGACGAAGTTTAACAGCCTAAATTTCCAATCGTCTTATTTGTTCAAATTACAAAGCGGGGAATGTCAAGACAAGACCTCTACTCCACATGTCTGGAATTCCAATCCAAACATTCCATCCAAATTCTACAGGGATAGATGTCCTGTGTAGACTCCGAGTAATAAATCAGGTTTAAAAAATAACAATCACCTGCGTCCACTGAGAAATGAGGCATTTGGAGATGGATTAGCTCAGTACGTGGGCATCTAGGTCACTAATTGTACGTAAGAAGCTCCATGGTCAGATTAACCCCCTTCCTTGGTGGCCAGGCCACAAGCACACAGCTCAGCGCAGGAGCAGCCTAATTGTCCCACAGCGTGTGTGGAGGTGAGGGGTGAGGTCCATCTTACCCTCCGGCCTGCCTCGTTGTTCTGCAGGTTCATAAGCACTCGTCCTTGCTCCTCTGATCCCTTGGCAAAGTTCTTCTCCCGCTCCCGGGCATCCACAAACTCCTTAGCAAAGCGGTAGCCGTACTCCACATTGTCCCCACAGCCACCCCACAGCCAGTCCCGGGGCAGATCCTTGGGCCGCGCTGTCCGGCTGCAGCCGCATGTAGATAGCTCCCCCTCGCGGCAAGCCCGACTGATGGCATTGACCACCCCCGCGGCACTCACTGCATAGGTGAAGGCGGTCTCTCGGCTACCTGCAGGAGAAACAAGAGAGGTGGTGAAGCAGGTCAACTCTCTGCTTCTGGCCAGGCCCTTCCTTCTCTCTGCCTCCTCCCAACCTTTACACCACAGCCTCTGCCATCGGCTGCCAGTGATGGGAAACAATGTCAGGAGGAAGCGCCTTCCATTTTCCATGGCTCTAATGTTTAGACACTTCTCTTTATAATGAGCTGGAATTTGCCTGCTAGTTACTTCTGCCTGTTGGCTCTAGCTCTGCCCTTTGAGACCACCAGAATAGAATAAGTCCCCCCAGTCCTGGCCCACACTAAGATCCATTCCAGAGAAGTTTCCGTGACCAGTGATCCCTAGGAGGTAGACCTAAATGGAGGGGAGAGTGGGCATTAAAGAATTTATGGAACATATGGGACCAAAAGAATGAGATTGAGTCAAGAAATAACGGGAACAATAGTAGGACTCTATCCTAAGCAAAAATTTCTTCCTCCCAGATGCAATTTTTCGCCATTCTATGAGCCACACATCTCTCTTTTTTTGCTACCATTATCTAGCTAGACAGAAGCAGAGATCAGGAGTAGAAAGTAAACTAGAAGTACAATGTCCAAAGTAACCGAAGCTGTCGTCATCTCTCTTCCATAGGGTCCACACTGTCCCCTAACTTGAGAGCACTGGGGGATCACATCAATGGTACCTATAATTTCAGATACTCAGCTTGGTCCCTGTAAATATCCAGATATTTTTCCGGTAGAAAATCTGAACTATGTTCCTTTTCATTGCTGCAGTGAATCACTTAAAACTCATAGGATATATAGTCTACTTTAGTAAAAATGTGTTGTTTTTTTTAAAATAATATTCATTAGTCATCCGATGAATGCAAATCAAAACCACAATGAGATACCACTTCACACCCACTAGGATGTCTGTAATCCAAAGACAGATACCAACAAGTTGGTGAGAATGTGGAGAAACTGGAACCCTCACAGACTGCTGTTGGGAATGTAAAATGATCCAGCTGCTTTAGACAACAGTCTGGCAGTTCCTCAAAAGGTTACACACAAAGTTGCCATATGACCCAGCAATTCTATTCCTAGGCATACACCCAAGATAAATGAAAATATACATCCACACAACAACTTGGACACAATGCTCATAACAGCATTATTCATAATAGCCAAGAAGTGGAAATAACCCAAATGTCCAACAACTTACGAATGGGTTAAACAAAACATGGTATGTCATACAATGGGATATTACTTGGCCATAAAAAGGAAATGAAGCACTGATAAATATTACAACATGGATGAACCTTGAAAATATTTTGCTAAGAGCAAGAAGCCAGACACAAAAGGCCTCATATTGTATGATTCTGTGATATGAAATGTTCAGAATAGGCAAATTCATAGAGACAGAAAGTAGACATAGTGGTTGCCAGGGACTAGGGCAAGGGAGGAACGGGGAGTGACTGCTAACGGGTATGAGGTTTCCTTCTGGGGTAATGAAAATGTTCTAGAATTAGATGGTGGTGATAGTTGCACAACTTCGTGAATATACGGAAAACCACTTAGCTGTACACTTTAAAAAGGTGCATTGTATGGTACGTGAGTTACATCTCAATAAAGCTGTTATAAAAAATAATACTCGTATGGACTCAGATATGAGGAAAGGGAGTGGTTCTTAGCAGAATACTACAATTCAGTCCTGATCTTAGAGATTAAGCCAGATAGAATCATTAGCTTTCCGTTTCCTCCTCTCCTGAGTCTCCATGGTCGGAGTTGGCATCCCATAGTCCTGTCTTGGCAGGTGGAGAGGGAAGCAGTCTGCAATCAACTAATAGGTCTAGAGTGACCTTCTGCCTTGGCCTATTTCTTGATTATCTAGGCAGGACACAGTAAAGTTTGCAACCAGACGACACTGGGTGAGTCAGTTTTTCTCAATTAACCAGGAGTCAGCTTCTGGTCAGTTGTGGAATAGGAGCAGCCCAAGAAAAACTCAGATGATGGCAGGAAGTTACATTCATGATTCTGCCATCAGGATTGACATTTGAGTCAGTACCCAACTACACCCAGAGACCAGGGAGTGGTCGGGGGAACCAGACTATGAGAATGAGCACCCCGGATGGTAAGATGGCCAAAGAGGCTCTGAGGGAAGAGGGTCTGGGCCCCACTTTAAGGGAGTCATCCCTGAGAAGTCTTCCTAAAATGCAGCCTCAACCCCCTGACATGGCATCCTGGAGCAAGAACAGCATTTGAAGCTACAGCCCAGATTTACATTCCATCCACTGTAAGCATTCTTTTTACAACATTCTTCAGAGAAGCTGGCTAGGTTTTCAAGGCAACTCGTTCCATCTTTTTTTATATTTTTGGACTCTAATCACCAGAATGCTCTTTCTCATATTAAGCTGAAACATGCCTCCCTGTAACTTCTGCCTGCTGGAGCTACACTGTCGACTCCCTTCTCCATTTGACAGTCCTTCAGTGTTTGACAACAACTAATACGCCTTCTATGTTTCCACTTTTCTGAGCTGCATATGTCTGATCGCATCTACCATTCTTTAGCAAACACGCTTTTCAGAGCTGAATCACCCCTCTCTGAACTGGCCCCAGGTTCTCAACATGCCTTGTAAAATAATGTGCCTGCAGCTGAACGTAATACACCAGACATGATGTGCTCTGACAGTTCCAGCCCATCGTGATGGCCTGGGATCCTGATCTGTCCTCCGGTGTATTAACTGTCTCACATAGTCACTTGCTCTGCCTCTTTGGGTCGGGGGAATCACTATGCCCTGAGCGTGCGTAGCTCTGCCTGGATATAGCATTTGGGTCCTCTGGTAAGCCCAGGGTACTAGTAAATTTTTTTTTTAAATTCATTGGTACTAGTAAAGGTACTTGTGCTACCTTTAGCAAGCAAGAGATAACCAGGGCCTTCAGAACGGATAAACAACGTGGGGAGCTTATCTTTATGTGAAACAATTCAGAGTTGAAACTGAAACCATCTCAAGGATAAAAGCTAATAAATGAGCAGCTATGGAGCCCTAGAGAGGCCCTGCGTCTCCCTCCACAAGGAGTACGAGGAGACAGTACAACAATATCATGCCCTCTCCATTCCTGGCACTACAACTACCAGGAAGGTGCCTCCATGCTCCCCTGGGCAGAAGCTCCCTGTAGTGCCAATGGCTTCCTCCAAACTGCTCTGCTGCCCCCTGGTGGCTGACTTTTGCAGCCTCTTCAAGGAGAAAAGGAGTCTTTTGGGAGTCATATACAAGACAGCAGTGAGAAGACTCACCAGGAGCTACTCTGGGCCCAGGGGGAGGGTTGGAGAGCAGCTTCCCAGGTAGCATAAGCCTGCAGGGAAGTTAATAAAAAAGGAGTGGTAAAAATAAGGCAAATATATGGTTTCCATTTTGTAACAGAATAGGATACAGAGAGACTGACATGGTCTGCTTTCACAAGTCACTCCACATACAAATCTGAACCCAGCGGAGAAGTATCTATTCTTGCCAACCTTGTTCTTTCCTAAGGAAAAACCTTGCTTTTTGGCCTTTTCTCAAACAAGATAACACATGAAAAGGTTCCAGCCAATGTCAGGCATACATTAAAAACCAGTTGTCATCCAGTAGACTCCAACTCATGGTTACTCCATGTGTGTCAGAGTAGAACTGTGCTCCATAGGGTTTTCAGTGGCTGATTTTTTTCAGAAGTAGATTGCCAGACCTTTCTTCTGAGGTGCCTCTGGGTGGACTCAACCTCCAACCTTTTGGTTAGTAGCCAAGTGTGTTAACGATTTGCACCACCCAGGGACTCTCAGGCAGATATTAGGTTCAGAATAAAGATCAGTCCCTCCTGAATCCATCAGAGACCGCCCTCTCTCTACACCTGGGTCATCCTCGCTTTCTTACCCAAAACAGGGCAGGGGAATACGATTAGGACTTTCATACAGAAGAAGGAACAAATACCAAGTGGATTTAAGAAGACTTTAGATAAATTATGAACAATCCCACTTAAGCCCCATGTTCATTCTTTTGGGAAAGTGGCCCAATAAGGCTGTCATAGGAACTCATGCTCTTTTATGCACTTTGAGTTGATACTGAAGGAAGCAAGAGAGCAACAAGGTTCAAAGTGTACTTTCCTCCCTGTCCTTATTTCTCAATATGGGGTGGGGGAGGTAGGGGAAAGACGTCTAGAATAATGGCAAAGAGTAGGGTGGGAGGGGGAAGGGACTTTTAAGTATTCTTCATAATGAGGAGCACAGAACCTCTAACTCCCTTTCATGCTAAAATCACTCTTTGGGGAAGCCCCAGCCTCAGGTAACTCCTGAATGTTGCCTTTTCAGGGGAAGCTGATCTGGAAGAATGTGAGACAGGACGAACACAGTGCTCTAACACCTTCCTTTTATGGCCCTGCGGATAAGCCCCAGTAGAATAGGGCCGGATTTCTCAATTTCTTGCCAGGGAGGGGAGGACTGCATTTCAAAAGGACCTAAAACAATTAGACCCCAGATCACACTTCCATCTAAGCAATAGGGTAGCCAAAGAATCCTAGACCAGCAGTGGGAGAGGGAAGGACAGGAATCCAGGAAGGGAGGGCCCTCTCATCTTTCTTCTTTAGTCTGCCCCCTTCCCCCACTTTCGCACACAACCCCTTTCAAATGAAAAAGCCAGGACTGGATCTGGGTCGGGTTAATGACAGCTATCATCAATTTGGCCTAAAGTTTTGCTCTCTCTCAAGGGTCCAAGTGAAAGAGGCAAAAAACCTTACAGACATTCAGGGTTGTGATTTTCGGTTCTCCAGCCAAGGCTCTAAAAGAAGGCCCTTGTTGTACTAAGAGACAAAGGGCAGTGGTGGTGGGCGGGTTTCCTAATCCACTAACTCAACTCAGATGTTCTGACCTCTTCCCAGAGTGAGTCACAGACAGCCTGACCCAGGGCGAAGCTGGAAGACAGAGGGCTGGAGGAACACCAAGATGTGTGGTTAATACATTACCGGAGACACCTCTTTTTTTGTGTGTCCCTCTCTCTCGTCTTGCCCACTGCTTCCAAGCCTGTCAGAGGAATGCATGCTCTTTTATGCACTTTTAGTTGACACTGTGCCAATCCTGACAGAGCTTAATTACCCCCAGGCAAGACCAGCACAGTTCCTTCTGCCAAGCCATGTTCTGGTAGCCTTACCTATTTGCATGACTCTTCCAAAGACAGACGTGTTGTCCACGGTGCTGCAGTTCCACCGCCTCTGCCGAAATTGGTACTGGCACTCCTTGATACCCGTCTTGGCTCCCTCCCCTATGTAGGCCATGTGCTCCTGGTACAATTGGCACAGCTTTCTCTGGCCAGGGGAAAGTCCAGGAAGCTGACTACACACAGGCTGGGCACCAATGATGAACATCTCGGGTCTCTGCACCGGGTTCATAGCTAGTGACCTACCACAGTGATCCAGAGAGGGAGAAAAAGGCCAAGGAGTGAGCAGCAGGAAGTCATTCATGCCACACATTTATCAAGTGCTTTCTGTGTCCAAGGCTTGGGAAGGAAAATTAGTAAGACAGAGTGCCTGCCTTCAAAGGGCACCGTAGGGACATCGAGGCATGAACACATATGACGTGTGAGATGCCAAGAGCTTAAGGCGGACTTGAGCTTCTGGATCCATAGTGATCAGACAGGGAAAGATCTTACAGCTGGGGAGAAAAGGAAAGCTTTTATGAGGAGATGGCCAGAGTTTGAACTGGGTCTTGAAGGATGGAGGGGGCAAGTGGAGAAGCAGACAGGGAGAGCAGGCTATTGATTTGAGGCAGAGGGCAAAAAGCGCCAAGCCTCAACAGGAGGCACACGACTTATTCAAGGAGCAGGAGGAATTCTGTTTAGCCCAAGTGCAGGATATGTGATAGAAAGCAATAAATTCCTTTAAACAGAAATCCCCCTATGCCTTTAAAATAGAGTCCAATTTACATATATCACAATATATTCTAAATGTTTTCACTTCCATATCTCACTCCACACATCTCCACACCCACTCTGTCTGCTCAGGGTATCTCCCATTTGCTCCTCATCTACCAGATGTAATAAAGTCTTAAGGTAGACAAGATGGCTATAGATCTGCCATCTGACTAAAAATGTGAGCGGGGCACAGACTATGCAAAATAGATGGTGATCGCCTGCCACTTCCATGTTGACTTGACAATGACAAAAGTTTTAAAAACATGAAAGAAAGCCACACATGATCTGCAAATCTCTCATCTGGTCTTCAGACTTTTAAAACAGGCATTCTACTCTCCCTGCCCCACTCCCTTCCCCCCGCCTCAAAAAAAAAAAAGGTATCAATATTCTTATCGATCCAATAGCAACAGGAGAGCTATTTCTAAAAATCCACGGGGATGGGGGAAAGTCCAGGAAAGGGGAACTGAGAATAGAATCAGAAAAAAAGTCAAATGAACTCCTAGTCCTTTATGTTTGGTGGTATCCCTTACTCCTGGGAGCTTGAGAGAGAAAAAGAGCTCTCTCCTTTCCTGGGATAAAAAAGGGCCCTTAGTATTCCTAGAAATAAAGGAATGATCACAACAGATGGTGACCTTTTTCCAGATCTCAATTATCAAAACAGGGAGGCCTTAGGTTGGAGACATAGGACTTGAGCTGCCTCTCACTCACCACCAGGAGTTGGCTTCTGCGAGAAGCTGCGCCCAGCTGGAGAGCAGAGCAGCCGTGAAGAGCAGCCGCAGGGCAGGCATGGTCGGCCTCACCCCTCTCCAGTGCCCTGGGAAGTCCCCGAGGACCGACAGCTTCCAAGACGGGGCTCCCTGGAGAAAGCAGAAATGAAGGGAGAATCAGTGTGGAAATACAACAGATAAGAGAAGACTAGGAAAGAGGGGTGGGGTAGGGGGAAGTAAAAAGAATGAGCTCTGGGGTGGATCTGAAGTCAAGTTCTGGTACCTGCAATGGAATCCAGCCTCCTTCCAATCTCCTAGTGCTTATCTTCTCACCATAGACTTTTTATGCCTCTTACCCAAAGCTGTGGGCACCCTTCTCAGGAGCCAGTCCCAAGGGAAACAATGAGATGAGAAACCAGAAAAAAGAAACGAAAGCAAATCATCTCAAGAGCAGAGTGTGTTCTGTGCAGTATTTAGGAAGATGCTTTGGTTGTTGCAAAGCACACCTGTCCTTCTTCTAGAACATCCAAAGAAACGAGGAGGACCATCTCATCCACCCCTCCATTTACTGCTTACTCCAGTCCAGAGATTACTTCTCTGATATCAGGCTGTCCTTTGTGGTAAATTAGATTTCTCTACACACAAATACGAGTCTTCCCTTTCAATCCTTACCGTTCCCACTCTCACCAAGTTTTCTAAATCCCAACCTTGTTTATCTTTTGCTAAACAAGAGATAATAGCAGTAGTAACAAAACAAGGGCTTTTCACTTTTGCAAGGCAATTTCTCTGAGAAATGTGAAAGCCATACGGGGAACTGCCGGTCCCTAAAGCTTTAGGAGCTGAGGCGGTGCCTTCCTAGGTGGCCCGGTCCCCTCCTGTGCACTCTGTGGTCCTCTTGGGCCACCACGAACACCCTTCCCAGCAGCACACAGAGCAGCAGTGGGGACATGGCCAGCTCCTGGTCCACATCTCTTGCAAAAAACCTCCGCGCTATGGACACATCTTCCAGAAGCAACAACCCCTCCCTAGCAGCATGAGAGCTTCCCACATGTTTGCCTTTCACTTTTTGGAACTAATGTCTGTGCTCCCAAAAGACACCTTTCCTTGAGCCCTTGAAAAACATACGGCAAGTCCATGCTTGTGGACTGTAGAGCAAGGCTATAAACATATGCTCCCCTCTACTCACACCCACCTCGTTTCTCCCTTAGCATCCATCTAGGGCGTGACCCCACATCTGCAATGAGGTTCTTCCCACGACCCCTTAACACCTCCAGCTTTACACACGCAAACACTCCCACAGGCACACGCGCGCTGAGCCGCCCCCACCCCCAGCTCACCATGCCGGTCCCGCAGTTCTGGGTCTCCAGGCTCTCCGGGAGGGGGCGGCAGGTGCTTTGGGTCATAAGCCTAGGAAATCTGTTTGTCCTGGAGCCACCAAGAGAGGAAGGTGGCCTGAGCAGGATCCAGGGAAGCTGGGACACAGCCTTTTCCCCACCCCCTTTTGGTTTTTCTTCTCCAGGTCTCAGCTGGGGCGGGGGCACCAACAGGCAGGTGTGTGGGGCCAGCAGGGGGCAGATCAAAGAAGAAACTTGCTCCTTCCCCTTTGTCATGCAGAGCCAGCTCGGAAATGATCCGGCCTCTATCCCAGGCCAACTAACAGCTCCCCACAACCTACTTTCCTACAGACCTCTCCTCCTCTAAAGGATGCCCCCTCCCCCTTGACCCTCTACCCCCCATAAATCCTCCCCCATCCCTCAGGGCAGGAGGTCTGTGAATGCACCGACTGGAACCAAGAGAGATGGAGCAGAGATAGGGCTGGCACCAGAAGCTAATGGCTTTATGGAGGGGAGGGAACCAGGTCCAGAGTAGTGAAGACGAGAGAAAAGCTTCAAAGAGCTTCCTTGTCCAAACATCCTCAACTCCACCTACCAGGCCTTCGTGAGGACTGAAGAGTCTGAGCTGCCCCTATTCCCTTTAGGTCTCCTCCCTTCTGCTTCTCCACCGCCCCTCTCCCTTACCTCACCCTCCTGACGCACATCCCCATCCCCACTACCATGCCTCACGCAAACACCCTACTCCCTGGCCAACATACATCCTCACACATTGCCACCGCCAGATAGCTGAGTTCTTTCTCCCAAATGGTGACACTTTTTATCCCCTTGCTGCCGCCCTCACACCAATGTCTCTCACCTCTGTCACATCCTTTCATCAGACTCCTGTTAAATCTTTCTGCTCCTGCAAGTCCTAGGTCCAAGCGAGGCCACATTGGGGGGCTGCCATTTCCAAGCCAAGGACAGGAGTCAGTGCCTGCTAGTGGTCACTGTGGCTTTGACTCCCCAGTGACAAGCCGACAGGCGGGCTAAGGCCAAACTCACCAAGAGCTGCTAATCCTGCCCCTCCTCTCCTTATAAACATAAACTGAGACAGGAATCACTCCCAGCAATTGTTCCCACCACCTTATTGTTTCCACCAAACTCTCCGCCCATTAGAATTTAAAAGAAAGAAAGAAACAAAAAGGCTCTAGCATATGTGACTTCTTTCTCTGCTTCCAGATGTGTGGTACCTGAAAGTGGACGCTCCCCCTCAACAACTCCTTCATCTTTCTCTCTGCTGCCCTCTCACCTGGCAGACAGATGCGAGCCTCCCCTGTGAGTGGGAACAGAGCCTGAAGCTGGGCAGCTGTTTGCCCTCTTGTACATTCTTCGCTTTCCTTGCGCGGCGGTGGGAGGAGAAAGGAGCTCGGAGAAAGGTTGCCAAAGAGGTGAATGTTAGCAATTGGTTTAATTAGTGTGGGCAGCGTGGGAGCTTCTTACCTCAACCCAACTGAGGAGGAAGGAAGCGGTGTGGGGAGTGATGGTTTAGTCTTGATGAGCGAAACTCATCGAAAGCCTCACTTGTGGGTCACTAGTGAGTTTTAGAGCAGGACTCAACCAGGGGAGGCTCTCCTTTGTGTAGAAGGAAAGATCTAGTAAATACTCAAAAGGTAGGGAGAGAGAATTCCATTGCAATAGCTACAGATTTCCTCAGAGAACTAAACAGTTTCCCTTCCTAAGAGAGGCAACTGTCATTTCAAATATACCTAACACAATATTGAAGTAGGAGGGAATCCAGGGTCTCTATTCTCTAATAGTAACTGGGAGTGGCAGGGTGGGGAGGAGGGGAGGAAGGGAGGATATTGTGGCGGAGAGGGCGAAGATACAAAATCCTCAATCAAGACCCTTCCAGAGAACCCAAATGAGCTAGTTAGACATCTGCTCTGCCCTACTTCTTCATTCATTTATTCATTCACTCAAAAAATGCATTCATCAAATATGCATTGAGTGCCTATTATGTGCCAGGTTCTTTTCTAAGTGCCAGGAATATGGCAGTGAACAAATAAATGCATACTATGTTAAAAACCAAAACCAAACCCACGGCCTTCTATTCCATTCTGACTCATGGTGGTAGAATTGCCCCCATAGGGTTTCCAAGGCTATATATCTTTATGGAAGCAGACTGCCACATCTTTCTCCCTTTGAGCGGCTGGTGGGTTCAAACCACCAACCTTTAGGTTAGCAGCCGAGTGCTTTAACCACTGTGTCACCAGGGCTCCTCATACTATGTTAGGTCCTGTGAATACTATGAGGAAAAATAAGGCAGGGAGAAGAATAGAGAATGATAAAAAGTGATGGTTTACATTATATAAGGTTCTTGAGGAAGGCCATTCTCTGAATATCTGGCCACCCCTCTCCAAACCACCATGTAGATAGGATGGTAGCAGGGGTGTAACCCTGCTACATAGCCAGAACCCCTCTGTACTGAGATCGCATCACCCCATTTTATGATCACAATCATCCCGTCAGGTTGAGTCAACTCCGATTCATGGCGACCCCATGTGTGTCAGAGTAGAACTGCTCCATAGGGCTTTCAGTGGCTGATTTTTTTAGAACTAGATTGCCAGGCCTGACGGACCAAATTACTGGGCTGAGGGCTGTGGGAACCATGGTCTTGGGGAACATCTATCTCAACTGGCATAACATAGTTTATAAAGAAAATGTTCTACATCCTACTTTGGTGAGTAGCATCTGGGGTCTTAAAAGCTTGTGAGCAGCTGTCTAAGATACTCCACTGGTCTCACCCCATCTAGAGCAAGGGAGAATGAAGCAAACCAAAGACAAAAGGGAAAGATTAGTCCAAGGGACTAATGGACCACAACCACCACAGCCTCCACCAGATTGAGTCAAGCAAAACTAGATGGTGCCTGGCTACCACCACCGACTGCTCTGACAGGGATCACAATAGAGGGTACTGGACAGAGCTGGAGAAAAATGTAGAACAAAATTCTAACTCA